ACGTGGGTGCTGGTGGGAAGACAAACACACGGTGCCCCCCTTTTGACACATCAATGTTAAGTCCAAGCAGGTCGAGTGACTGGTGGTGTGATTCCCAGGAGCTCTGGCGTTCCTCTCTGGCAGCATCATGTCTGGTGGGGAGGTGGAAAGGAAGCTGTGAGTTGGGAATTGAGCGTAAATGCATTCTGAAACTTCTCGCACAAGATGGTGCTGGGGCAGACATCTCCAGGGGTAGGGAACACTGACGAGGCACGGAGTCCTACAGTTCCCAAATATCGGTCCTGAATGTGCTCCCTTGTGCAGGACCTCAGGGGCCTGAATCTGTGGTTGAAGCAGATGCTTTCTAAATTATTCATCTGCTAGCACTGGGCCAGCAGAATTGGTTAAATGCGTAGTTAATTCCAAAACACTTTCATTGGAATATTTGGGGTGGGGAAGCAAATCAAGAACCACGTCTGGACCGGCATGTGCCAAGATGACGCTCTTGCACAACACTGAGGGGAGGAAAAAATGATGCAAGTAAGGTTGTGCTGGTCCCAAAACTTGATGGCACTTCTCTTGTCCAAATTGGCTGCTCACCTGGAGCGTCCCACAGCCTTTCAGTTACCTTTGGAGTTAGTTTGTGAAGCCAGGAAATCATCTTTCTGCGTCACTGAGAAGTTATCCCCTCAGTCTTCCTTATACAGTATTGCCCTAATTCAGTTATTTTGCGAAGAAAACACAGTATAAATCAAAAGTAATGTCAGTGCATTCATTTTCAAATTGTTGGATTTTTGTTTTCTGGTGGCTGTGCTGCTGGCATGGAAACGCTGCTGTTGTGCAAGCTTGGAAAATAAGAAAGCCCGAGTTATCAGTATTGTTATAAATAGTTATTAAAGATGACAGGATTTAAAATGTTGTTATTAACATTCTTAATGTTAACTTGAGGGTAGAGTGAGAGAATAAAATGCAGCTCTGGCTGTCTGATGGCTGGTGGGAGCTCCCTGCAGGACTGTCCTTTGTTGGAGCTCTGTCATCCTTCCTCGGCTATTCCTTGCCTTGAGTAGGAGGGGGTAAAAGAAACCAGTTGCTTCTCTGAACGTTATCTGCTTGCACAGCTTGTTTTTGCTTTAGTTTTGGTGGGTTTTGTGGTGGGTTGTTAACAAGAAGGCATTTCACTTGTTAGGTGTGGGCTTTAATGGTGACATTTCTACCAGATGTATGTGTCCAGATGCAATTGCCAACGAGTTGGAAAAGACGGAGGACGTAGGACAAACTGTTTCCCTTATATGAGACTCTGAAATGAGGTGGATATGACAAGGTACCAACAAAAAACAGATTTTTATTTTACCAAGAGCATGTCATTTTGCAAGAACACGGTCTAACCTTCACCAGTCAATGTAAGTTGGGGAGGGATATCTCAACAAATATGATATGACACGTTTGAATTAAGCATGGAATTGTTTGCTTTTCACTTAGTTTTTGTGAGTAGTGTGCAAATCTGTATTTTTTAAGGAGCAAGTTTGATACGAATGTGAAGATTGGTGCCAAAACACATCTGTTAGCAGCTTTTAATCTTCAGGTTTGACAAAGCGTATAGACATGGACAAATTGTAATTTACATGATGAAACCGCAGGGTGATGGATTGCTGCAGTGGTGTGGAACGTCACGGAAAGGAAATAAATTTCACAAGATAAAAGGAAGGGTTGGAGTGCATTTACTCCTATTATAAGTTTTTACAGGGTATGCGCACTACAGTGTACTACTACCTGGGTTCAAATCTGCTAGAGTAAATCCTCTTCAGCAAATAAAGCTTTCTTTGCGACTCTGCTTTATTAGAAAGGAGATTATTTGGTTTTGAGGGTCATTCTAGAGTAGGGTTTGAATGAACTTGAGTTGCTTTCCAAGATAAACACAACCCCAGAACAAAGCATATCTGGGTTTACTGTTACATACAATGGTGTTTTAAGAGCTTGCACCTGGCGTGGCAGAGCGAACATTAAAAGCTTGTGAAGAATTGCCAGGGCGACATATGGCACAGCCCACGGATGGATCCAGAATTGGTCTGGACCGGCTCCGGGCCCCTTGCCAGGGCTGGAGGGTCTCGTTGCAGTGATCTGCAGCACTTAAGCATTTATCACTGTTGTAACAAGATGTAATTGCTCATACTCTTCCCTGGAAAGTCTCTCTCGGCACCGATCTCTGCTTGCGCCTTCCTGTTGCTTTCTGACACCATAATACACCAGATTCAGGGCTGATGAATTTCCCCTCTGCCTTCCTTTTCAGCCGCAACGACGTTCACACTAACAGCGGTCACTGCAGGCTGGGCTTTGGCTTTTTGTCGCCCCGTTGCCGAGCTCAGAGCCGCACACCTATGTGTAGGGAAGGAAGCAAAACCCCGTTTGCTTTTAAAATCATCCCGGGCCTTTGTTCCAAAGGACCTAATCCCAGTGACCGTCCCGTGTCGTTCCACTGTGGAACGCGGGAAAGCGGCTTCGGTTTCCCCCGCATCTGCTGGGATTCATAAAGATCAAGTCCCCCTATGAAATATCAAAGCGGGGCGGATGCTGCGGGGTTGCAGCCAGGAATCGAAGATGGGAAGGTGCCTCCGGGGCCACGGGTGATTTAGTTTGTTTTAATATTTTTTTTGCAGCACCGTTTCCTAAAGCTGCAGCTTTCCATGGTAGAGTTGGGGGAGTCTCCTTACTCCTCGTCCCGCTTCAAACTGCTCTAGCACCTGGCTGGTGCCAACATCTTCATAATTTTCTTACTGAGGAGATTGCAGAGAGCTTCTTTGAGGAGCAGCAGTGCTGGAATGGCCGGGATCTGCTGATAAGCCTCAGGACTAGGCATGGAGGTGCTGGCACCTACCACCAAGTGTCATGGGAGGAGATTTTTATGAGAGAAATGATTAAACTCCTAAACTGGGCCTTCCTTCAGGGCTCTGCCTCTGAGTGTGAGATGTTGTTTAGTTCCCTCTTCTATCCCCCTGCAACTCCTTCGTTATGCAAGGACTGCACCATCTGGATGGCAGATGATACCTTTACATTTGTCTGTTTTCAGTTTTCCTACTATAAATCATCTGATTTAGCTGGTTTCTGTTGCTTGAGATCTTCCCAGTGTTTGAACTAGCTCTGCTTTAAAGCCAGGCTGCCCCGATAGGGAGCTTTTTGCTGGGGCTCCTGCTCCCGCTGCGCCTCCCAAATATATATAGATATATGTGTGTATATGTGCTCTGAAGCCCCCGAATCAGATTCCCCCACCACCGCAAACAGCTTTCTACATTGAGTCTCCTTTTGCTCAGCCAAGCAGGCTCCTTGCAGGCAAAAGAGGGGTGAAGTGATGTCTGAATGATCATTGCTGGCCAGCCAACATCCAGCACCGAGCTCCATCAACTGCAGAAAATCCTCCTTCTGTCTTTCTAAGCAGTTTTCTTGCCTACTGAAGAGAAACTGTGGTCGTTCCAGAGTTGTCAGAAGCACAGTCTTTATCTGTCGTCTCTTTTCGTAAGAAAAGAGGGTTTAAAAATCTACTGATGTCATTAGCAAAGGCAGCCTGATTGCATAGTGAGATTTTGTTGTTGTTGTTGTTTTCTGGTTTGATTTTGTTAAAATTGGTTCCCTCCTAGTCTGATGTGCTGCCAACTAGGTTTTGCACCAGAAGATCATGTTTAGTTTCTCCATAGCCCTCACGCTGAGACGGGCTTTGCAGGAGTAAGGTCCTCAGTGTCTGTGTGGTCCCAGGTCTTCCTCACGTGTGGTCGGCTCTGTTTGGTTCAATCCTCCTCTCTGCCATGAAGTTGGTTTCCAGACCTCCAGGAGGTGAGATGTGGAGGCCATCCACATCCAGCCATTTGTACTGAATGACTTCTCTCTTCCTTGGGGCTGTGTGTGTCTTTCCTCCTTCAGCGTGATCTTGGACCATAACCTATTTAGAGCACTCTCTATAGATGCCTTACAAAAAGTCTCAAGTGCACTGCTTGAAACACCAGAGACTGCTTCTATTTTGCCAGCATATGTCTGATCACATCTTAATTTTCCATTTTCATGTGTGGCTAATTAACACTTAAACTTGCTCTTGAGGGAGCTTCTCTGTTTAGCGCTTTAGACCCACCACGTGGTCAGCTCTAGTACATGGTGCTGGAGCTAATGCTCCTCAGACCGGCTGGATGGAAATGGTTTCAATGAACGTTTTGAAGCCAGGCCAGAGAGTGAATCAAACATGAATGACCATGAGTCACTTCGGAAAACAGCCCCGTCGAGGGCTCAGGGGGTGACGTGCCTGCTGCAGATACCTCTGCTTGCACACCCAGAGGTTGCATGGTGCCTTTGAGGGTCCTCCTGGCTTGTCCTCAGCCATGTGGCTGTCGTTGCCATCTCCTTCTGGTGTGGGGAACGGCCTTATTTAGTGTGATGAGTGCTGAGTGTGAACGAACCCGGGCGTCTGTCCCGGGAATGCTGCGTTGCAGGAGTGGAATGTAAGATGAAGGGGCTGCTGTCTCTGCTGGAGAGCCCTGGTGGGCCATTGTCCGGGAGGAGGGGGGCACGCTGCCGGCGGGGTAGGTGCGGGGATGGCCGCAGGCATCCCATCTCAGCCACTTTTTCCTGAGAAATCCCAGCACCATCTTCAGCAGGGCTGGGATAGTGCAGCCCCATGTTAACCCTTCTGGCTCAGCCGCTGTGTGCTGCCTTCCCTGCGCTCGAGCGCTGCGTGTCCCCCGGGGTGCCTGTGCCCGGACCTCAGGGAGGACCCCCACACTACACAAGCCGTGCTGTGGCTCAGAGGGGGTTTTGCAGAGGGGGGAGCTGGCCGTGCCTCCAGGAGCTCCCAAGGAGGTGAGCCGGACCCCTTCACCTGCATCCTGCATCCCTGGACTCTGGGAGCAGGAAGCCTGGAGCACCTGGTGGTGGCTCACCCCGTTGCATCTCCTCTGCTCCCACCCACCCCAGGGTAAACGGGTGGGTTGTTTTGCTTTAGTGACCAGGGGCTAATTTTCTTCTCCTTTCTCCTTTTCTTATAGGTGAACCCCACACCGCAGGGTACGCGAGCGCTGCTGAAAATGATGTACTGCCCGTACTGCCGAGGGCTGGTGTCGGTGAAGCCCTGCTACAACTACTGCTTTAACGTCATGAGGGGCTGCTTGGCCAACCAAGGGGACTTGGATGCCGAGTGGAACATCTTTATTGGTAAGGCAATATGGGTTAAAACTACATGAGAGTATACGCCGATGTTTTGTCCCACACCTAAATGGCTGTAGTAAGTGGCTGTGCTGAGCTACAGCAGGTTTATGTTATTTTTCCTTGCACACCTCTGTATACAGAACTCCTTTTGCAGTTCATATTAATTGCTAAATACATGAGACTTTTGTTGTCCCAGTGACCTCTGTTGCAGCAAGGCTCAACAGAATTGGCGATGCATCCTGTTTTGGGGCGCACGGGCAGTAGATAATGTTAAATGTTTTCATTTGTGCTCCTTTTCCGGGAGCTTTGATTTATCTGTGAGGGAGCATCCTTTGGGAGCAGTGGCTTCACTCCAGTTAATGTGTGATGAAGTGCACGTGTGACATATCGGCTGCTACTGACAAGGCTGCCGTACTCTTTCCATCCCACTTGTCGGGCGGGGGGGTGGAAAAGGGCTGTTAGAAAGAAAAGATTTCCTTTTCATTAAGCTGTGAGATTAAAAAAAAAAAAAGGGGGAAATTGCTGATAATTGGCATTTCAGGCTAGATTTAAATCTTAGACTTTGTTTTCCCATGTTTTGTGCACTGGCTTTTTACTTTGCTCCCCGTGCCAACTGGATGTGTGCAGGGTATTATTTTCAGAAGGCATTTTTTTTTTTGCCTGGGTATTCCATATAGGGAGTTAAATGTGACACTAAATTGGGTTTCCAAGTCATTCTCTGGGAGGCTGACACCCCCCCTCCCCTCCCCAATTCCTCCCAGCTGTCTTTCTCATGAGAATATTAAGTATTTCAGCTACAATTGTTGCTGAAATAGCTCAAAGCCAGGAGACTTGCAAACATCTAGTCCAAGCAGAAAAGAGGAATCCCATGAAAGAGAAGGGCATAATGCCAGAAAACAGACAAAAGCACAAGCAGCTAATTGCTGTAGGTGGTATGCAGCTAAAAATGAACCTCGGGGGAAGCCAGTGAGCCTGTCACACCGGACTGATCAGGGACTGCATATGATAATTAAGGTTATTAAACAAGGCAAAATAAATAAATGCGATTCCAGGTTGGAAGCAAAGCTTTCTTCTTGCAGTGCTTCCTCCCCAAGGGGGCTTCTGCCCACTCATTACTTAAGTATGGTATTAAGCTTTGTTACATTTATTGGCAGTATTTGCTTGGTTAATTCTTGCAGTGGAGTACGGGTACTGGAAACTCAAGCTGTGCTTTCTTCAGGCAGTTTAATAACTGAACAGGTGCTGGTTATGTTGCAGATTTTGTTTTCCATCTCTATTTGGCACTTGAGGCAAATTAAATTAAATCGATCTGGTGTTTGGGGCAGGGCATGCATCACAAATGTCCTACATGTGTGTTTAAAGGTTTAAATAAATAAAAGAAAAGAAAAAACCCCACCTCACAACAACAACAAACCCACCTGCATGTACTCATTGCTATTTTGCATCATGAGTTTAAATACTAAGTTATGATAATGATTTGTTGCATGTCAAAAACAGATTTTTGAACCCAGCGAAATAATTTAAAGATTATATGTAAGTATATTATATGCAAGTATATATGAATGTGGGTGGGTGTGCGTATAAAATACACATGCCCATGTGTCAGCGGGTCTGTATGGAAGTCTCTTGCATACAGCTTTTTCAAGCTGTGATGTAAAGTTGGTAGGTTTTTTGAGACAAAAAGACTTGATACTTCCTTACTTCTGCAAAGGACCAGTTAAAGTTGTGGTGTATGGAATAATGACCCAGTTGTACTCTTTTCTCCCCTTTAACTACCTTTAAAGTATTTCACCTTCTATTCCTGCCACAGTTGTACACCAATTAGACGGGGGTATACTTTGTTTCAGACAACTTGTTAGGGGGTGAGGGGGGTGTTGGAGCTTTCCTGAACAAACAGTGTTAATCTCCCATGCCTTTTCATTATTTTTTTTTATTATTTTTTTTTTTCCCCAGAAAGGTTTACTCTGCTCAAAGATATTAAATTCAGGCTTCATATACGTATCTGGAGTACTACTTTGTGTGCAAAGGATTTTTTTTTTTCCCCTAAAAAAAAAAAAAAAAAAAGAGAGAGAAGAAAAAGATTGTTGTTAATGAATGGTCAAGGTCTTCCCCCTCCTTCCCTCCCCTTTTAAATCAGATCTTGGGGTTAAGACTGAGAACTGCCTTTTGTTCTTCAAGTCAGACAGTGAGGCTGAAGATGTGGGTTTCTGATTATTGGTGGCACAATGCGAAAGAATCGCTTTCCTTCATGAGAGTGAGGTGCTTTGTCGCCAAGGATTGTCTCAATGCCAGTAGCAAGGACAAATGTATGCAGGAGGAAAAGGGTCTTTAAGGGATGGAGCTATATGGTGTGGGTTGGGATGGTTCGCCCACCCCCCCACCCCACCCCCAAAAATCCCTTTCTATCTCCCCATCCCAAGGAGGAGAGACAGTCTTTGTCACCCTGTGTGTTTGGAATAAATGGCCAGGGTATGTTTTTCACTCTGCCAGACCTTGTGTTTGGTTTTTTTCTTTGGTTTTTTTTTTTTTTGTGGAGCAGATCTGAGCCACCTCACCGTGGCTTATAAACATCAATTATTTTGCCCCGGGGTTGGGGCAAAATAAATGATATTTATAATCAGCTCCTCTCTCCCGGTGATGGAGCATCTTTTTGTGAGGCAAGTTGAGCTGAAGCTTCATTTCTGGTGGTGTTGTGGTGTGCCTCCCCTCCTGAACCCCAGCCAACCTTAGCCTGACCCAACGTGGCTGCCAGGGGGGATCGCCGCTCACCACCACTGATGGTGGGGACACCAGCCAGCTCCTGGTGGGAGGTAAAAGTTTGCAGGATGCCCCCCAAAATCAAAACTGTGGATGATTTAAAGCCCCTCACCCCACCTTCTTTTTAATTATTTTTTTTTCCCCTTTTTAATGAAAGTTTATTTCATTTAGCGGTTCTTGCCAGCATCCACCCCAGCTCCTGAAGAGCTCCAGTTGAATATATTCTCCAAGGGCAATTATTACTTTCCTTATCTTTTCTTGCCAGCTTTGGCAGCTCTGCTGGAGGCCGAATGCATTTTCTCTATCGGCAGTCAAAGCGGAGGCTGCATTCCTGGGCTGTGATACATGGAACGCCATGGCACCCCTGCTAACAAAGGACCCAATTCGCTCTACATTCCCATGGTCTTGTGGATGGCCTGCCCGGCTCAAAGTTTACAAAGACGCCAAACAGCCAGAAGAATTGGGGTTTATGTTTCCTTTCAGTCTTTCACAAACACTTTATTGATCTGCGGCCTTTCCTGGCCACTCGGAGAATTAAGTAGTTACAAAATGGAATGATTTTTCTTTCTTTTTTTTTTTTTATTATTTTTTTGAACTATACATTTTGTGTATTTTATTATCTGTCTATTCATAATATTTTTATTTGAAATGAGTGGCTTCCTGCAAACTGTGCTGGGATGTTCTTTATGCGCGTGAAAAAACCCCAAAAGCTTTGACAATGATGAACACATTTAAGTTGTGCTCCACTTGTTTACAAAAGTCTCCATTTGGTAGCACATCAAAAGCATTTTTCTCCCTCCGGCACAATGGTATATTCATGCTAGCAGTCATTACTCAGAGATTTGAAGCATCACTTTATTGGAGCTCACCACAATACAGTCTAAGACTCTTTGTTTCATTTGTTATTACCTTTTTTCTTTTTTTTTTTTTTTTCTTTAAATGCATTTAGTTCAGACCTGTTTGTAGTCCCTGATAGCTAAATTCCAGCCGTGCCCTGCAGCAGCTTGGTTCCTGGTGCTGGTGGAGTGTGCCTGCTGGGCAAGGGGTTTTTCCTGGGGGCTCCAGCTCCTCCTGGGCTTCGCTCCCTAAACGCTGGCACCTCGGGAGTCCCAGCTGACGTGGGTCTTCAGATAGGTTGATTGACTCATAGACCTTTAATTAACACCCAGCAAAGCTTCGGAATGTTGAGTTCTCCTTAAAAAGTGGATTTCCAGGCATTAGGAGGGCATCTGCAGTTCACCTGGGTGTTTGGCTGTTGGACTACTATTATTAATAATAATAATAATTTAAATAATAATAAAATTATTAATAATAATAATTTAAATACGCAAGTAGCCTAACTGTATATTTGTCATCAGTTTGTGGGTTTTTTGGTGTAGTTTAACATGACTTGGGACTTAACAGGCACTAAGGCAGAGCTATTACTAAATTGTTCAGTATGTGGTATATCTTCATAGGCCTTTAACAGGTAGCTGGAGTCCTCAGAAGTTTTCTGCTTGTTGAAAGTTCCTCCTGTGCTTAGGAGGAGGATGAATGTCAAGAGAAACACTTTTCAAGAGAAATTAATAGACTGACTCTGAAATGCCCGTTTCTCCTTAATGGAAGGGAACAGGCGTATCCTTGGGAGCGGGGAGGAGCTCCTCAGGAGAGGGTTTTCCTTGGGGCCGGAGCAGCCATTGTGTCCTGACCTCCCACCTTGTGCTAGGAAAAAATGAAGAATTAAATGCTACTGGGAGGTGATGAGTTTGTGGCAAGAGCATCACAAAGTGAGGCAGAAGAGGAGGCCAGCAAGCAGGGTGCTCTGGGGTGGAGGGACTGCGGGGAAAACTAACGTTAATTAAAGATTGCGACGGGTGAGAAGAGATGAGCGCTTGGCACCTGGAGGCACCGTCCAGGGAAGACCCGGCGAGAGGGCTGAAATGCAACACAGGGCGAAAGCCTTAATGCCAATAATAATTCCCCAGAGGAAGCAATGGCAGTTTGCTAGTAGTTGGCACAGGAGCGGTGACCTTACGTTGGCTGAGGGACTTTTCCATCTCCACTTGCGTAGAGATGTGCCAAACATATCATCAGTGCACAGTGCTTTCCCTGGTCTCCCAGAAGGGGCCATCCCTTGGCTCTCCCAGGCCCGGCAAAGCCTCTAGCCTTCCTTCCCTAAGGGAGAGACGGTGGCGATGGGCATCCTGGGCTCTTTCATGTTGGTGTCCAGTGTTCAGGACCAGCATGAGGGAGCCGGTGGCTTTGAAAGCAGTCCTGGAAAACAAATGACACAAGGAAACCTTTAATAAACGGGTACGGAGAGGAGGGTGTTAGTAATGCTTGTTCTAGTGGGAGGAGCTGATTACAGGCTGCCTTTTGGCAGGCTGGTTTGGCAGGGGAGTTGGACTAGATGATCTCTAGAAGGTCTCTTCCAACTCCAACAATTCCGTGATGGTTCTTCCTCGTTTAACGCAGCTTTTGATCTCTGTGATCCCATGGCTTGGTGCTGGCAGCCTGTAAGTGCCCAGTGAAGTTGTAGGCTCTGGGAATGGAGCAAAATGTTTCCTGGAGATGTGCGGTGGTCAGAAGCGGCATTGTGGTGATTAATGTCTGGGCGCTCAACCTGTTGTCCTGGTTGCTTGTTATCCTCGAAGCTCTTCCATTAAAATCTGTCATTTCTCTCCCCGTGTTAGATTCGATGCTGCTGGTAGCAGAGAGGTTGGAGGGTCCCTTCAACATCGAGTCAGTCATGGATCCCATCGATGTAAAAATTTCGGATGCCATCATGAACATGCAGGAGAACAGCATGCAGGTGTCTCAGAAGGTGCGTGGGCCCAGAGGACAATCGGACCTTATTTCTGCGATGTGTTTTATTTCCCTGTTCTCGTCGACGTGTTTTTTCTTTAATGTCCTTTCAAATATTTATGAAGCGACGTGTTATTTTGGGCAGAGACTGGGTTGGAGCCTGGAGAAGGGAGGCTCCTCTGACATCCTATTTCATAAAGCCCTTTCCTCCTCTGGTGTAGGTTTTCCAGGGATGCGGCCAGCCAAAAACGCTTGCTCAGGGCCGGGCTGCTCGCTCTGTCTCCGAAAGTGGTTTCAGCGCTCGTTTCAGACCCTACAACCCCGAGGAGCGGCCGACGACAGCCGCCGGCACGAGCTTGGACCGGCTGGTGAGTGCCTGGTGCTGCCGGTGCCGCGCTGGCGCTTCGCATCCCCACGCTGCAGCCTAGACTTTTCCATTTGTGATTTATAGGGTTTCTTAATATTCCTTGGCTGTCTTAAACTCCCAAAGGGGTGTAATCTGCCCGTGGCTCTAGACGTGAATTACCTCAGCGCTTCTACGTCAGAAAAGTGCCTGTTGTAAAGGCTTGACTGATGAGTAATACGTGTTTGAGGAGCGGTGTTTAATTTTGTATTAAAAAAAGTAGATCAACCATCAAAACACGCAGCCTGAAGATCTGGCCTATACACGTCTGTTGTGATAAAAAATACCTTTCCAGCTTCACTTTTAATGAGCGTTTGGTATTCTGGATTATGTCCTGTGTTTCTTTTTTTTTTTTTTTTTTTCCTTTTATTTAATAGGTTACTGATGTGAAAGAGAAGCTGAAGCAAGCCAAAAAATTTTGGTCATCTCTCCCTGGCAACATCTGCAACGATGAAAAGATGTCTGTGGGCACTGTCGATGAGAACGAGTGCTGGAATGGGAGCGCCAAGAGCAGGTTCGGAGATGCTGCCACCCCCACGGTTTACTCCCTGCCTCTCGCCCCAGCCTTTCCCAGGGTGCCAGCCCCTCTCCCCGGGCCTTCTTCCCCTACAGGAGTGACCCCAGTTTCCCTGAGACAGGCTGCTGCACGTACCCCTTTTTTCTTCATAGATGGGAGAGGTTGGGCGCAAAGCTCTTGGTGGCGGTTTGTGTTCAAGGAGGGAACTGAGTCCAGATACCCAGATGGTAGCATCTTTCTTTGGACTTAAACTTGCTCATGGGTTTGGGGAGGTGATGTGTACAAAACCCTGTCTCAGGGCTGCAGAGCGGGGATGCTGGTGCTGTCTGACAGCACAGGTGCCCCAGTGCCCCCAGTTGGTGTTTCCACCAGGAGCTGTTGGTGGGTTCCTTGCTGAGCAAAGGCAGGGGAGAGAGAGGCTGGTGAAGGGCCCTCTTCTCTGCTGCTGGGGTCAGTGGCACGAGGAGGCTGGTAGTTTTCATGGACACTTTTTATGGAAAAGTAGTTACGAACTCTTTTTTTTTTTCTTGTAAGGAAAAAAATAACCAACACATGAATAAGCCAAAGGTTTTTTGTCATATGGTTTATGTAACCATTTAACTTTTATTTTGGAAATAGAAGTTTCTTTTTTTTCTCTTTGCTTACTGAGGAAATACGAGCAAAATCCAAGATCTTCCATTAAAAAAAATAGTCATCCAGGGTTTTCCAGCCACTTTTTAAAGTAATAACAGGTTTTGGCCTTGATATTTTTGGGGCACAGGACTCAGCCATACAACATAAATTCTGCCTGTTTCGTGTGTGCCTGAAGCTGCCTTGCTCGGCCAGGTTTGGGTCTCTGCCACAAGAAATGGCTCTGCCCTCCTGATATCTTGCTATCAGCAGCTTGTACAGGGATTTTTGTGGCAGGTTTCTGCAGTGTGTGAGCTCTGGCACCAGCTGGGAGGGGAGGCAGAGACTTGGCAGCGCTGGGCAAGGAGACAGAGGGGATGCTGGACATCCTGTGTGGGTTCTGCAAGATATTTTCCTTTGCTGTTACTACTTTTCTCTGTGGCTCCACCACGCTAAAAGTTTAGTAGTCTTCCATGCTTTGGTCTCTCTCTGGCTTCTTTGAAACATATAATATCCATCACAAGTAGTAACAAAACCCAACAACAGTAATAATAATGATAATAGTAAACCCTCCTGTATACAGTATAGAGGGCAGGGTTTGAGCATTCCCTTATGCTTATATCTGACTGCTTGCTCTCCAGGACCAGTAGGTTGTACTAAAGGCTTTTCTCTCTCTCATGATACCAATGTTGGCATCGTAACTAAAAAAAGTAAGGTTTTTTCCTGTTAAACAGTGATTTTTCTTACAAGTCTGGTGACTGAAGGAGGGAAAATGTGTCATATCCCTGCTCTATAAAAATGACACTCCAAATACCTATTTTAGGAGATGTATTTTGTCGGGGTTGGTTGCTATAATAATAATAATAATAATAATAAACCCTCCCATATACAGTATAGAGGGCAGGGTTTGAGCATTCCCTTATGCTTATATCTGACTGCTTGCTCTCCAGGACCAGTAGGTTGTACTAAAGGCTTTTCTCTCTCTCATGATACCAATGTTGGCATCGTAACTAAAAAAAGTAAGGTTTTTTCCTGTTAAACAGTGATTTTTCTTACAAGTCTGGTGACTGAAGGAGGGAAAATGTGTCATATCCCTGCTCTATAAAAATGACACTCCAAATACCTATTTTAGGAGATGTATTTTGTCGGGGTTGGTTGCTCAGTCTCTCTTTTAAACCAAGAGGCCATATGTGTGTTCACATCTGTGCTCCTCGGGCTCAGCAGCTTGGCTCTTGTCTGCTTCGATGCGTGGGGTTACGGTATCTCATCTGCAACATCACAGGTGTTTCTCCTGCTGGGACTATTAGGGGAATTGCATCTCATGTCTGTGTGATGAGAAGTACACGTTTAATACCCCAGCTAGATAGTTAAGATGCATTATGCAAAGCCACAATGACACTCTTGGCTCCAACAGTTCCTGTAGGTTTCTCTGGGATAACTATGGCCCCTAAGGTTGTTTTCCTGCAAGTGTCATCTAACTGGGCATCAGGGCATCTCAGCAGCTTGTTTTGCACTGTTGCCTGCAGCGAGCTGGTTTATGCTGTCGTAAGCCATTATTATTCTTACAAACCCCAGATCTCCCTTCTCTTTTCAAGTTGGGGAGAAAATTGTCTTTCCCCTGCCTTTGTGGCACAGGGTGTATGAAAACCATGTTTAATTCCATGTGCTGCTCAGGTTGCAGGGAAGGGGTAAGAAGGTGGAGAAGGACTCCATGTGGATTAGCGGTTGGGAAGATGCTGTTGGGCTCAGAGTCTCACCCAGGCTGGAGACAGGGGTGGCGTCACCAAGTTCTCACACTGTTGCCCTTTGGTGGGGGATCCCACTGAGCTGCAGCTCCGGTACCAGCAGGAATGGTTTCTTTTCAGGTACGACTTTGCAGTGACTGGGAACGGCTTGGCAAGCCAAGTGAATAACCCGGAGGTGGAAGTGGATATTACCAAGCCAGACATGGTGATTCGCCGGCAAATCATGGCTCTGCGGGTGATGACCAACAAGCTGAAGAACGCCTACAGTGGGAACGATGTCGACTTCATCGACATAAGTATGTTTGCTGTCGTTTGCCTTTTTCTTTTTCCTTTTTTAATTGGATTTCATGCTAATGTGGGGTAGCTGGTTAAGCTCCAGCTGTGGGTAAGCGTGTTAGTAAAGAGGGTGGGAACCGGCATCTCCCTGTTCCCATAGAGTCATGGAATGGCTTGGGCTGGAAAGGGCCTTTAAAGGTCCTGCAGTCCAACCCCCCTGCCCTGGGCAGGGACATCTCCAGGGGGTTGCTCAGATCCCTGTCCGATCTGACCTGGAATCTTTCCAGGGATGGGGCATCCATCAACTCTCTGGGCAACCTGGGCCAGGGTTTTGCCACCCTGAGTGTAAATTTCTTCCTTAAAGCTAGTCTAAATCTCCCCTCTTTAGTTTAAAACCATTCCACCATGTCCTGTCCCTTCCCTCCCTGATCCAGAGTCCCTCCCCATCTCTCCTGGAGCCCCTTTAGGGACTGGAAGGGGCTCTAAGGTCTCCCCAGAGCCTTCTCTTCTCCAGGCTGAACCCCCCAACTCTCTCAGCCCCCCCTCCCAGCAGAGGGGCTCCAGCCCTCCCAGCATCTCCGTGGCCTCCTCTGGCCCTGCTCCAACAGCTCCATGTCCTCCTGCTGTTGGTGGCCCCAGAGCTGGAGGCAGCACTGTGTAGGGGGCTCTCCCCAGAGCGGAGCAGAGGGGCAGGATCCCCTCCTTGCCCTGCTGGCCACGCTGCTGGGGATGCAGCCCAGGACGGGGAGGGGTTTGGGCTGCCAGCACACATTGCCACCTCATGTCCAGCTTTTCATCCACCCTCACGGATGGGTGCCACAAAGAGCACGCAGAAGCCATGTTAACCAGAGGACTCGGGCTTACATCTCATAAATGTCAGAACATCCACACGCTTGCTTTTCTGTTGTCGTTGTTGTCCCCCCCGCTGCCTCGTGCGGCCGGGGAGGACAAGGCCGTGTCTGTCCGCAGGTGAGGAGAGCAGCGGGGAGGAGAGCGGCAGCGGCTGCGAGCTCCAGCAGTGCTCCCCGGAGTTCGAGTTCAACGCCACCGAGGTCACCGGCAGCTCCAACAAGAGCGATAAGAGCCTCAACACTTCTGCCGCTGCCACCAGGAGCGGCTCATCACAAGCAGCCTTGCTCCTTAGCCTTTTGTTCTTGGCCATGCAAAGACAATGGAGATAATTGTGCAGCGTAGGGGTTTTGGGGGGGAAAAGACTTTTATTATCAAAGTTAGAAGGCACCTGCTTTCACTTTTATACCATCTAGGGACTTTGCTTTTTAAGTTAATGGACAACAGTGTACAGTTTTTACTATGTTGCCACTGGTTTTAAGATACTGATTATTATTTTTTTTTCCCTTGCTATTCTGGGAATAACAGGAGCGGGGACTGCCAGTCTGTCCCGTTCACCAAGAGTCCATGTTAGAGTGGATAACAAAAATGTATATACAAGCCTGTAGTTAGCTCGGCTTTTGTGTCTTTATCACTTTTCTTTTTTTTTTTTTATTTTATTTGATTTTACGGTATTTCTTACAAAAACAAAAAAAACCCCAGGGTCTTCTCTTGGCCTGTAACAAGTATGTGTTTCAGAAATGACAAATATCTGTACAGAAGCAGGTTTTATTTATCATGTTATCTTACGGGGAAAAAAATAATTGCCCAACAAGCAGAGACCATGTTTCGTGTAGTTAACTTCCCATTTATCCACATTATGTTAGTTGCATTATCTGGGAAGAAATGGAAGTAATTTGTCTTTATTATGCAGTAAAACAGAAGGGAAAGGCAGGGCTGGTCAGCGTGCCAAGTGCCCCGTTTGCACAGGGCATTAATGCCAGGAGCAGGTTGTACGTTCTTTACAGGACATTTGGTGAAATTGGAAGAGGCTACAGAGGATTCGGGTTCTGCAGACGCTGAGAAGAGTTGTCATTTGTCCCCTGGCATCCTTGCAATTAGCTGTAACTCCCCTAGGTCAGTCCCAGACGTGCATCCCCTGTGGGAATAAGGCATTAAACTTGTTCAGTTGGAAGCAACTTGTCTCACACATCCAAACACCAACGTCTCATCTTGTCTGCAAGTTTGTTAGATGAATGCTGGATTAATTGTTTCAATTATTTTTTTCTTGTTGTTGTGTTTTAGGATTACTTTGTGGGAGGGGAGGCGGAAGGGGGGTGCGTGTCACGTTTGTTCTTGCGAGATTTTTGTTTCCTCTTTGATGGGGGACAAAAGGGAAGGAGCAGGCAGTCAGCACTGTCGCGGGCAGGTCGGAGGAGGAGGAGGCAGGAGCTGGCAGGGCTGAAGATTCCTCCTTTTCTCGCTGTATTTGGTCCCCCGGGCGCCCATGTCCAGCAGCGGTGGCTTTTCGGCGCTGCCCGAGACACCCTCCTCGCTCTGCCTGTGCTGCCGAACAGCGTTGTGGTGAATGGCAACTCATTAATAAAAGAAATGTATATTTTTAAGAGAAGAGATGAAATAATTTTTAAAAGAGTTTAGGGAAAAACAAAGTCTTTGGAAAGACTCAAAATTATTCTGCACGTCTCCTCCTGCTTTAGGTAGCCTTTAGGTCTGGCTTGGACGCAGGAATCCAGCCAGGAGAGCAATCCGGAGAGCAATCCAGAGAGCAAGAGTTTGCTCTATTCCACCCTTGTCTTGTAAGGATAATTTTCTATTTTTATATTGAAGCATTAATTACTTGTTAGCTCAGGGTCAGTGTTATATTCAACTTTATTTTCACACCAAATTTCTGCAAAGCTATAAAGACAGAGTATTCTTGGCTGGTATAAACAATCCTGGAGGCTTAATTTTACTAGAAGTAGCCAGTTATTTATTAAAACATGATGTTAGTAGAGTTAGGGATATTCTGGCTAGATTATTTTTCTTTAGAAAATAAATCATGGAACCATAAAATTGAAAAAGTTATAAATTTATGTGTGGGAAAAAATGGATTGTAAATAGCTAAGTTGCCTTGCGAGGAATTGGAAAATGTGCTGATACTTAGAAACTACCTCAGTTCTGAGGAATTTCCTTTCTAGCTTTTGAGTGCTATTACATTTACTTGGTAGAAGTGAATCTGGTCTCCAATATGTAGCTGAAAGAGTTATCCCTATAGACCTTGTTAGATTGTTTTTAATTTAGAGGGTTGAACTACATCCAGCTGTTTTCTTTCAGCTAAGTTCCCTAACAAAGAGAATTTCTGAATTAAATATTGCTGATGGTTTCCATGACTTTTCCTGATTTGTTTGGTTTCATGGCATTTTCTGATTGCCCTTTAATTATTTAAATGGTTCTAGCCATTTGAATTTTAATCCTGAAATAAACAAACCTTAGATGCACTACCATTGTAAATATATCGCAGTAAGGTCTGACTGGATAACCCTTCTGGCTTATACCCAGCTGGCAGGCCGGCAAAGTTAAATGAAGAAAAAAAAAAATAATAAATAAATTAAACTTCTTCAGAGCTCAGAGAATGGTGGAACAAAAGCCCTTGTGTTCCGAGGGGCTGACTTCTCCAACATCTCCCTTCTTGGCGTGTTCATATGTAAGAAAGTTGCTGTAAATTCTCCTGCTTTTGAGCATTTCTGCTCAGAAGAAAACGTTTCTGAATTTATATTTATCATTTTACATCTAATTGCTTACTAATTATTATTCCTTAGTTTGGTACGAGACCTGCCGTGAGTTTTAAGTGTGTCCAGTTGACTTTGTTAATGGCACAACCATCCTCTGCTATATAAAGGACAGATTTGTCACCTGGGGCTACAGGAAACGAGAGTAAACATCAATGTAGGATGATCAAAAGTTGTGTTCCTGCTTTTATTTTGTGTTTGTGTGTGAAATTGTGAAATCTGACATGAGCTCGTAAACTAAACCATACGGGGAAGGGACGAGGCGGCTGCTGGCTTTGAGGAAGGCTTGTGCTCCCTTCCCTCCACAGACCAGCCTCCCCATTTACCCTTCTGGTGGGGGAAAAGGAGAGCAAACAGTGGGACTCTTGTAATCAGAGTCTCTCCTTCTGTGCTGTGGTGGGTGCTGTGCCCCTGAAGCAGGACAAATGACCAGGGCAGAAAGAGGAGTCCTCCCGCACGCCCAGGGAAGGGTCCTGCTCCTGCCCCTGCCTGAGCCAGCCTGGCCTTCATCCTCACTGGCAAGTTGGGGTATTAATTCTGGATGGTGCAACCTCTCGGTATCATAGAATCACAGAATGGTTTGGGTTGGAGGGACTTTTAAAGATCATCCAGTGCCACCCCCTGCCCTGGGCAGGGACACCTCCCACCAGACCAGGCTGCTCCAAGAGCTCCCGTCCAACCTGGCCTTGAACCCCTCCAGGGATGGGGCAGCCACAGCTTCTCTGGCCAACCTGGGCCAGGCTCTCACCACCCTCACACCAAAGAACTTCTTCCCCGCTTCTCATCTCAATCTCCCCTCTTTCTGTTTAAAACTGTTCCCCCTCCTGCGGCTCCCCTCCCTGATCCAGAGTCCCTCCCCATCTCTCCTGGAGCCCGTTTAGGGACTGGAAGGGGCTCTAAGGTCTCCCCGGAGCCTTCTCTTCTCCAGGCTGAGCCCCCCAACTTTCTCAGCTTGTCCTCCCAGCAGAGGGGCTCCAGCCCTCCCAGCATTTTCATAGCCTCGTCTGAACCCGCTCCCACAGGTCCATGTCCTTCATTTATTTCTTAGAACTGATGGCGCTGAGGTTTCTGTCACCATCCTCTTAATTGCTTTGGATGGATGTGAGACTTGCTGTACCAAGCAAGACCTCTGGCGTGATCCCGGCTCCTTTCTCATGGTAGCATCTGGTGTTGGATGTTTCAGAGCAAGGCACGGAAAAATCCCTTCTGTCTTTTTGAATGTTTTACATTATCACAGGTCCCACAGTAACTGCTAGCCCTCTTTGTCACCTTCCCCTCCTTCCCCAAGCCCCTTCTTCCCTTCTACCTTTCTGCAGCCCCCGTGGTGATGGTGGCAACCAGGATCAGTGACAGCCTGCATGGGGGGTGCTGCTGCCCTACTTGCACCCTTCACTTGCCAGCACAAAACTGTGACATTTCTTCTCGTGCCACCAGCACCTCTGCAGCCAGGGCTGTGGAGACACACAGGTCCTGCTGGTGCAGGTGGCCCTGGAGCATCTTGGGGACCCTGAGGCCCATGGATTTGTTTGTGTGGAAGCTGGTGGGCATGGCTGCTGTGGTGGAAAACTCAAACCGGTGGTAAATCCATCTCCCACTGCTGGCAAAAAATAATTTGCACCCTTTTTTTTTTTTTTTAATGCTGCTGGTTTTATTTTTCCATGTAAGCCAGTCCGATTATCAAAGATAACTGCAGAGTGTCACTGCCTCGAGTCTTTGCCCGATGAGATGGCCGGTGACCACCTGCCTGCAGTAGTCCCTAAGCCAACACTGCAGTGTCTGCAGGCTTGGTCTGACCTCTGCTGCTTCTATTCCTTGGGATGCCGCCTTGGACAGGTAGTAATTTAAAAACAGATCAAAAAATGCGTAGAAGAGGGTGAAAATTGATACAGGAGCATTGCAACCCCCCTCCTGGCTGGTGGGATCGGTGCTGACCTGAGCTGCTATGGGGGGGGACTCACAGCCAGGAGCCACCCCAGGAGTGTGAGTGGCCCCCGCGGGTCAGCAGTGTCCCTCCTGCCTTTGTCCCCAGGGCTGGGGGTGCCATCCCTGTCCCCAATGCCTATGGAGCGCTGTGTCTGTGGGATTTCCTTCCAAGAGGCTGGGATGTAATGGTTTAAGGTAAATGCAAGATGAGCTGTTGGAGATGGTGCCATGCGGGTGTTTTTAGCACTACCTGAGTGCCAGCTGACCCTGGGGATAGGTCTCATTTCTTGATAATGCCGTTTCAAGCATCGTGCTTTCTGGGTTTGGTTTGCTTTCTTGTTAGGGTTTTTTTTTTGTTGTTTTTTAATCCTCTGCTGTGGTTTGTTTGAGGGTTTGTAACAGTGTAAATTGCCTGGGAAGAGGCAGCTCTTTATGGGCTTGCTGTAATTCTGGGTCAAGTGTGCTTAAATTGCTGTAATTTGTATCTAATGGATGACACGGATGGAGAGCCCTTTTATAACTGCTGGAGCAAGGAGGGGCTGCCCGCCCCGGGAGGGGGGGAAGGCATCCTGGGCATGGCCCCGTCCCTTTGTCCCTCTCTTCTCAAAGGGAGGACCATCCTTTTGGGGAGTCCCTTGGGC